AGTAAAGTAATTTTCACATCGTTTTTGAATCTAATATTAGAATCCGTTGCGAGTCAGATGGGTTGGTGTCACGACTGCTAGTGTAGTCCAGCACGCAGAACTATGTAATGTCTACATAGACAGAAATCAGAATACTCAGTAATAGCCAAGGTCAAAATACCGGGAATATCAAAAACAGGACAAGAAAATGTACTCTCGGGAACCAGGAAAGGAAGCCACAACAGGGCAATGAACTAGGGAATTTCAGGGATTTAAATATCCTTCTTTTAGCTGTGATTGGTCATAGGGTGACCCCAGAAGTTGCGTGTGCATCGATGTCATGCGACTCTTGGGGGGCGGAGCTATATATGGCAGTGACCGCGGCGCCATATTTCTTCAGGGCAGGCTGCCAGGAGGACCCAGCGGATTGGCTCCCGACTGAGCAGGTAGGCTCAGTTCGTCGGTGTGGTCGCACTGGTCAGGTGTGACCGCACCTCACAGCGATCCAGGGGCCTTGACAGTTGGGGTGCCGTTTGCAGAGGAAATTCCAGGGGGGCAAATTGTCTCTGACAGAGACATGCATGCATATAAATTGCCTGGAACTCATGGCAGGATTCTTCGCCTTACGCAAATTTGGAAAAATCCAATTGTCGCGTCCTTCTCAAGATGGACAATACTTCAGCGGTTCAATATGTGAATCGATTAGGAGGCACAAAATCCAAACAACTGGCAGACATTGCCAAAGATTATGGCAATGTCATGATGTGCACAGGTTTCACAAATTCCATTCATTTAGTAACACAAATAATGTAATTGGTTCTGAAGGATCACAGGGCTTGAAGTTTCATGTCCTATGCTGAAAGCCAGACTTTAAGGGTTAATTGCCACTGCAGGTCTGGAAGGTTTGTGGCACATTAACCAGAGGTGAATTTATCCCTGCTAGAGCTAAATATTCTCTTTCTAGTGACAAGTGGAAATTTTGAGCCATGGGTTAAGATATTTATTTTAAATGCATCTTTTCAAGAAAAGCCTTCACAGTGGTATTAATACTACTGTATGAGTCCTGTTTCACTATTTATAATCTGTAGTGAATCGCTGGGGCCTACATTTATTTGAGTTTTCTTAGGGCCCTGTGAGTACAACCTTGTGAGTTCTGTTCAGTATTGCTTTTCACACTAGAATGTTATAATTTATGTTTTGTTCCTAATGCTCCCATATCTGCAGATGAGTTAAAAGGGGCAATAATAGACTGCCATCTCTGGTAAGTCCTATATCATTTTCTAATAAGAAGTCCATCATAAGTCTACACAGGATCTGCTATTATTTATAGCAAAGTGATATTTTCCAGTACTGCCTGGTTTAAGTATTGTCATACTATTTTGTAATTTGCTAAAGGTATTATCCTGGTGTTATCCTATATCAGTGATGGCGAACCTATGGCACACACAGCACCCCCCTTCCCTGACACACAGCGCCCACACACAACACCCCCCTCATACACATCACACACACACCTCACCCCCTCACACACACAGCACCTCCCCACACACAGCACTTTCCCCCACACACAGCACCCCTCTCACACAGCACCCTCCACACACACACAGCACCCCTCTCACACACACAGCACCCCACTCACACACACAGCACCCCTCATACACATCACACACAGCACCCCCCACACACACAGAGCACCTTCCCCCCCCACACACAGCACCCCTCTCACCGACACAACACCCCTCTTACACCCAGCACCCCTCACACACACACACACACACACACACAGCACCTCTCAGAGACACACACAGCACCCCTCACACACCCTCCACACCCGTACACACAAACACATATACTGCACCCCTCAATGCAGTATTTGTGTGTGTGTTTGTGTGCATGTATTCAGCAGACTGTGTGTATGTATTCAGCAGTCTGTGTTTACTCAGCAATCTGTGTGTGTATTCAGCAGTCTCTCTGTATGTGTATTCAGCAGTGTGTGTATTCAACAGTCTGTATTCAGCAGTCTGTGTGTGTGTGTATTCAGCGGACATTGTGTACGTATTCATCAGTCTGTGTGTATGTTTGTGTGTGTGTGTGTATTCAGCAGACAATGTGCATGTATACAGCGGACTGTGTGTATATTCAGCAGTCTGTGTGTATGTCAGTGTGTGTATGTATTCAGCAGTCAGTGTTTGAATGTGTTCAGCAGTCTGTGTATGTATTTTATGTATGTATTGCATTTGTTGGAGATACTCCTAATTTTATCTATAATTTAAATTTGTATTCCTGTGAGTTGTGTGTAGGCAGGACCCCAGTGCCCATAATGTTGTTAAGATGGCACTGGTGGGTGGGTGGGATGCAGCACTGCTCCCTCCGCTGATGCTGTCAGGAGACAGGAAATTGACCTGATTGACGTAATTTCCTGTTTCCTGGCTGCATCAGCGGAGGGAGCAGTGCTGAAACAGCAGGTAAGTCAGTGCTCCCTTGCGCCCAAACCCCCTCACAGCTGCAGGAAGGAATCAGATCCACCAAGTAGGGAGCCTGGGTGGACTTCAAACCCCCACCAAAAAAAATTAAGCATTATTTATGTGCTGGGAGGGAGAGGGGGATATAATGGAGGAGGTGGGATATGCTGGGGCAGTGAAGGGAAGATGCTGAGGGGAGAGAAGACGAAAATTTGGGGGGGAGAAGGGGAGATGCTTTGGGAAGAGAAGAGGGGTGCTTCAGGAAAAGAAGAGGAGATGCTGGGGGGAGAGAAGAGCAGAATCTGTGGAGAGGAGGAGATGCCGGGGGAGAGAAGGGGAGATGCTGGGGGAGAGGGGAGGAGATGCTGGGGGAGAAAGGAGAAGGAGGAGATGCTGGGGAGAAAGGGAGAGGAAGAGGAGAATCTGGAGGAGGAGTTTCGGGAGAATGGGAGAGGAGGAGGATGAGATACTGGGGGGGGAGAAGGGGAGAGGAGTAGATGCTGGGGGAGAAGGGGAAAGGAAGAGGAGAATCTGGGGGAGAGGAGGAGGTGATGCTTGGGGGAGAAGGGGAGAGGAGAAGATGTTGGGGGGAGAAAGGGAGAGGAAGAGGAGAATCTGGGGGAGAGGAGGAGATGCTGGGGGAGAAGGGGAAAGGAGGAGGAGGAAGAGATGCTGGGGGAGAAGGGGAGAGGATGAGATGCTGGAGGTATACTGTGGGTAGAGAAGGGAAGATGCTGGGTGGAGAGAAGAGGAGAATTAGTTCAGACAACTGTATGAGTTGTTTTTCTAAACTTAAATATCAGTATTCAGGTTCAATTGCCGTGTTGCCGCATGTATTGCGGTTTGGGCACTGGGCTCAAAAAGGTTCACCATCACTGTCCTATATCATGGCACATATACAAATGTCTGTATTCCAAGTGTAGGAGAACCAACGTTACCATATCTCGGATATAATATCCATAGAAGTTTACATATTAAGTTTTTTCAAATATTCAGTATCATCATACAGTTTTTCTGTTTATGCACTTATTATTGAATTACCTATTTTCATCACGTTTTGGTCAACTTATTTAATTTGTAGTTTTAACCACAGTTTGCCAGTTATCTGATACTTTCTTGTAACCGTATGTTGTCTCGACTGTTTTGGGGCGGTCTAGTATAAAGAGTATCCTGATATTTGCAATACTTGGGTACCTTGAGGTATGTGTCATAATAAGATGTTTCTCACACAATTACATTTTACCACTGTTTTTAATGATTTTCTCTTTGTTTTAAAATGTCACTATCTACGTAGTCCTCTACCTCTTACAATACTATATTACTGCAATGTTACTGTATAATTTTGTTTTCTTGTAGCAACCAGTCAATTTCTCAGACCCTGAGAGAAAGTTTTAATTCAGACATCATTTTTTTAGGAAAGTTATGTTCCAGTCTCTGAACTCTGAGAAACATTTAGAATTAATAGCTTCACTGCTGCTATAGGTAATCTCAGGCTTGAATCTATTCATGTTTAACCTGGCCTCTTCACTCACTGTTGGCCTGTGCCACAGCTCTTCCACCATTTTATATCTGCTACCTCTATTGAATTTACCACACAGTTTGCAATTTCAAGGATGCCAATATTATTTCTTGCTGTTTTCAATGTGCTTTGGCATTATAAAAACTGGTGGTTATGGTCCTGTAACATTATTATTATGTTATTTATATAGCGCCAGCAAATTCTGCAGCGCTTTACAATGGGTGGACGAACAGACATGTAGTTGTAACCAGACAAGTTGGACACACAGGAACATCTAAGGTCCTATTATTTACACAACCATGATATAGCCAGATACCAGTACAGCTACAGTACAGAGTTTGCCTTTCCTTGCTGATTTTACAAATATTTGTGGTTGCTTGATTTATTTCTCTCCCATCAGATGTTTAGCGTGGGTATTACCATATTGTGATGCTGCCACGGATTAGCCAGTAATAAGGAAATTGTAGCCATACTTACCGTCATTTCCTTTTCCTGGATATATCCATGACAGCATAGCATCCCTCCCTTATGTATCATTTATTATTTTTTAGGAGCTTGGAACTAGACTGGAGATCCTGTCTGGGAGGAGGGGTATTTATAGTTTTTAGTTCCTGTTCTAAATAGTTAAGAGGGTGGAGCTAAACCTATTGCGATGCTGCCATGGATATATCCAGGAAAAGAAAATTACAGTAAGTATGGCTAAATTTTCCTTATTCCAGCATAACCATTGTTTAGTAAATATAACAAATCCAGTCTAAACAAAATAGCATGCATTTTATTTAACACAAAACACAGAAACACAAGAGCACCTTAATTGAGTGAAACATTTTTTACATCTTTATTTGACAAATTTAATGTACAGTCTTACATTTTTAACACCAAAAGATTGAGAGGTAAGTACAATAAAAAATATACTGGACACGTGTTTGAAAATTCACAGTTTCTGTCACTAGGAGGCAGTAGGCATCCAAATCAGTGTGTCGCAAACATATGTATTATTTTGAAAACAAAACCAACAAAAATCATGCTTGCCAAAGGGTAAGCAACTTTAAGGGAGGACACATCCCATGGTGCAGCAGAGAAAATTTTAAGTACCAGCATATTTATGATGTAAACCTTTTGCCTTTAACAGATATCAAAGAAAATCGGATTACATTGGTTAAGAAAAGAACATGAGCTAAAATACAGTGTAAAGAATATTCCATAAAAGAAGAAAACATGTAAACTGTAATCAGAGAGCAACGACAAGACCGAGCATAAAAAAACCAAAAAAAAACCAAAACATTAACTAAAGCATACTAATATGATTTGCTTTCCAGAACGTCAAATAATTGAATTGTTTCTGATGACTAAAAATGCATTCGAGAGCAAAATGTTCATTGTTATCACTCAGTAGGTGGCATTTCAGTTCTCCTTGACCATGGAATATAAATTGAGATAGAATTTCAGATGTCCTTATTGTTCTACATGTTTGGTAGCTGTATATAATGTTTGAGGGATACCAATAGTTAACACTGTGCACACAAGGCATAGTGATTTCTACTGCACACAAAGCATAGTGATATCTACTAAGCCATTCACACTGATTAAAAAGTGTTCATGTGATAAAATGATAAAAAAATAAGATTCCCTCTTGCCACAAAAATAAAATGCAGCATTTACAACTAAAATGCTCACTAGATATTAATATATTTTACAAAGAAATTGATCATTATATATACAATAACATATACACAGTATTCCCTGATATATTAGTTCCCTTGTCAGTCTTAGGGCATATTAAAAATAATGAAAGAAATATGCATCCTAAGCTTTCCTGATGAAATTGTGTATAAATAAACATTACAATACATGGATATTCAAATTTCAAAATGCTGATTTGCACTCAAGAAATATTTTAGTAGTGAATAGTAACAATGGTCAAATTCATGCTTGTATTAGAAAAATGTCTACTTTTTCATATATATATCTATATCTATATATATATATATATATCACAAATTTGCAGTGATGTTACTACCGCAAAGGAATCTGGGGGGGCATATGCAAATTAGTTCAACAAAGAATCAAATTTTTACCTCATTCCATTTTAAACATGGATTCGCTTTGAAACACAACTTAGGAATAGATGCAAAGTCAGTGAACCACTTGTGGACAACTGTTTCATTACCAATGCAAACCATCCGCATGAGGTTGGCCACTGGTTGGCCACTGAGAGCCGGTAATGCCTGGGAAGCAAAAACCAAAAAGGTTATGGTGGGGGAAAAAATGTGATTGAAAACCCCTTCCACCTGAAGTCTGTGAATAGTTAATACAACGTTAACCAAAAATATGCACACCAGTCAAGCCATAAGACCATCAGCATGAGGCTGGCCAACCAGTGGCCAGTCTCATGCTGATGGTTTGCATTGGCAATGAATAATGGGAGCTATTCCTGACACAGTAAATTAGTCTGCCATTTAAATTGGACAATATGAAATGACAGATTTCTATTTTAAGTCTATAATTCTCTTAATCTCACCTCCTCTAAAAAACCAGCAAATTATAAATGCTGCTGTTCTCTGGGGATGTAGCAGAACGGTTTTATCTGTGGATGTAGAAGTGAGACTGCAGGAGTAAAGTTGTTTTTGTGCCTACAGTGTCTCTTTAATGACAAACTAGAAAATTACATCTGTTCTGTTCATGGGTACAGAGGAGGGGGACATAACATAGAAAGGCAGGGATATGTCATGACCATAAACATGTTCCGCACATTACATTAGGGTTTGCACCCAGAGAAAATTACTAGTTACTTAAAGGAACACTATCTATAGTAGATAATTGATGGTAGATAATTAGTTTCTACTGTCTAATATTGCTTTAAAAAAAACTAATTTAGCTTAAAAAGGTACAAAATGCCAATGTTTGCTAATTGATAACTAGGTGTAAACTGAACAAGGAGTAGACCAGCGCTAAACGAACTAAGGACACTAGGATGGGAGGCAGCACACCTGATAGTAGGGGAATCCCTCCAACCCCCAAGAAAGCTAGAACAAGTCAAACAACAATATACAGGTAGCGCCAAGAAAAATACTCCAAACACAATAGTATATAATAATAAAATCAATAAAAACACACAGGATATAAAAAGAGTCAACAATAAAACTTAAAAGAAATAAAAAATACCAAATGGTATGGCACAGTCTCAAAGGTGGCAATAGATCTAGTACTGGTATGGGACTTTTTGGTAGCTTCGCTTAATAGCAGTTTATGAAAAGGAAGCAATAACAGAGGCAAACCAATAGTGCAATATGGTAGTACGTAGTAGGACAAACTACACTTAAATAAGATGTCAACTCACATATGGTAAAAATATAACCAGCTCTAGGTAAAACAGCATACAGTGTACCCACTTGCAGGTTATCCCTCTGGTTTTGTAAAATGATAGTGAATCACAACTGGATAACGATGAGGTGGATCATATGGAATGACAAAAAAGCAGCCAATAGTGCTCTTTATACAGATAAATAAGTATCGATAAGGTAAATAAAAATATACTTACAATAGAGTGAGCAGACTAACCACTCTTTGTATCAAGCCTGGGTGCTATAATCCCCACCAAGGATTTCTTTGGTCAGTTGTCCGCAGTAGGTAATGGGTCCAGATGTCAGGTAAAAGTATAAAAATAAATACGTTCTAAAAATAAATGGCTAAAGGGCAGGTAGTGAGGTAGCCAAAATACTTTATTTAACAACAGCATAAAAACACAAAATGTTTTTGCTCTTAGGGCTTTCTCACCTGGTAAAAAAACAAAACACTTTTTTTACCACTGGAAAAAGCCCTAAGGGTAGAAAGGTGTTTTTTTTTAAATAAAAATTAAAAAAAAAATGTATTTTTTTGATTTTTCCAGTACATAGTGAAAATGAACAGGCGTAGTAGAGACATTTCAATGAGGTACTGAACATGAATAATTAGTACAAGTAGCAACAGGAGATGTCTATTATACTGCACTGATTTTTGTGAAATACTGTAATACAAGCTTAGTAGAAATATTTAAATGAAAGAGTAAAGAGTGGTGAATGGTACTAGCTGTAACTTGAGGTGTCTAGGGTATTGCACAAAGCTTTAGTGAATAATATAGCATACAATAAGCTTAGGAGAGTCATGTCAATGAGGAGTTTTATATTATAGTTTAGTATATAGTGCAAGACACATCATGAGATGTCTAATGGTTGATAGGTAAAACATGCTTAACAGTAGTGTGCTCTACATCAGTATCTAACAAGTTGTACGTGTAAGAACCACATAAATACCACTTGATAATTACATAAAAGGAAAACCACTGCAAAGCCTATGCATGAGTGTGATTAATTAACTCCTACGAAGTCAGCAGGCCTACAACAGTAGTACGGAGCAGCAGTAGTATACCTCGATCTACCTCCCCACCAGCCCCAGACTCTGCTCTGATCCATTCTTCCAGCCGCACTGCCCCAGCCGAGTCCAGCGGCCTAGGCATTCCCCTCCGGTATGTCCCTGGTACTCGCCCATGTGAGCTGGCCAAAGGCTTACAGAAGACATGAGCAGTGTGAGGGGTAACAAACCCAAGCGGATCGTGGGCCAAGAAGGCGGTTAAGCGGTCGGGAACCGGTCCTTCAACATATAGGCCTGAGGCTCAGTTTCGAGTTGTCAGTGGAATAGCGCTGTTCAAGGCAGGTTTCAGAGGCGAAGGTCCAGAAGCGGCTGCATTCCCCAAGGGTGAGTGCTCTGTCATGTGGTCGCGCAGGTTGGCACACAACTTCTCCCACAAGCGATCAGCTCTTGTCAGCTGCCCCTGATATTGTGAGCTAATTTCATGTGCAGGAGGGTGTGTGGGCTCCTGAGCATCGGCCATTTTAGGGAACAGGCCTCTATCTGAGTTCGGCGTTCACACAAGTAAGTACTCTGCTGAGTTACAGGCAAGTCGGTAGTGGGGACCGGAATATCCCCCACCGGTTCAGAGGGGGTGGAAAAAGGGCTTCAAGGCGATCAGGTTTAGTTCAGTGCAGAGAATCAGCTTTTCCCTCCAACCAAAGCTCACCAGTAGGCCGCAGCTATAGTCTGCCAGGGCTCCAGGGGTTAAAGTAGTTCAGATTGATACACACGGTGGACTGTAACTTCCACCACATTTAAAACCCGGTTGCAGGCTAGATTTCTGTATTTTGCCGGTATAGAAGGTATAAAACCAGGAGTACGTCGAGGACCTCCAGCAACACACGTCTGCCTTGGTCTGCAGTCAGGTCCTGCCCGACGCGTTGTGTTTTTTATTCTGTTAAATAAAAAAATTTGGCTACCTCACTACCTGCCTTTTAGCCATATATTTTTAGAACTTATTATTTATTTTTATACTTTTACCTGACGTCTGGACCTATTACCTACTGCAGACAACCGACCATAGAAATCCTTGGTGGGGATTATAGCACCCAGGCTTGATACACAGAGCGGTTAGTCTGCTCACTCTATTGTAATTATATTTTTATTTACCTAATTGATACTTACCTATCTATATAGAAAGCACTATTGGCTGTCACTCCATATGATCTACCTCATCGTTATCCAGTTGTGATTTACTATCATTCTACTGTGTACAAAAACCAGAGGGATGTCCTGCAAGTGGGGATTGTGCAATTATAAAAAGTGGGAATTGTATACCACTGCATGCTTTTTTACCAAGAGCTGGTTATAGCTCTGCCATATGTGAGTTGACATCTTATATAAGTGTAGTTTGTCCTACTATGTACTACCATATTGAACTATTGGATTGCCTCTGTTTTTGCTTCCTTTTTATATACTGCTATTAAGCGAAGTTACCAAAAAGTCCCATACCAGTACTAGATCTATTGCCACACCATTTGGTATTTTTTATTTCTTTTAAGTTTTATTGTTGACTCTTTTTATATCCTGTGTGTTTTTATTGCTCTTATTATTATTATATACTATTGTGTTTGGAGTATTTTTTCTTGGAGCTACCTGTATATTGTTTGACTTAATAACAAGCTAATCTCAACTCATACAAAAATGCTCAAACAGATCTATATATAGGTCAGAAAAGGCAGTGTGCCTAGATCAACCTTGCATATCCCCTGTGCACACCTATGGTCATCATGACATATCCTCACCTCTCTGTTATCACTTATCAAGGTTTCCTTTGAGCTCAAGCCCTAGGTGTTTCTGGAACCTAGGCACACCCTGTTGGGAGACATTTTAGAACAAAAACACAGAGAGCCGATATTTATGGAAAGAAAGTGACACACTCCCCAACACATGCACACACAGCCTAGTACATACATTAATACACATACACTGCCCATATGTATATACACACTGCTGAATACATCCATATGCACACTGCATGAAAGCAGTGAGAGTAGTGACAAAATCTGTGCTGAGGGTATTGTGATTTCAGCCCAGAGTACAGTGAGCCACACATTTTACAGTTTTAAACTATGTTTAATGTGCAGGTGAACTTCTCTGTCTTAGATCTGAGATCTTAAATGAACATTCCAAGCTTCATAACTATTACAGCTTGTTGCAGCGGCTATGGTGCTAGGAGTGCCCTGGTGTCATGCCACTGTGAGATGCTAAACTTACTTAGCACAGATTTACAAATTACCTGTGGTTCTGCTATGCACCCACACCATATACAATGTGCTTGGTCTTCTACAGTAGCAGAAGCCAGATGTAGTTTTAGAACAAAGCAGGAATGATGAAGAACAGCAATTATTGGTTAAAAGAGCAGAGCTGATGCTCTCTGCCAAGTAATGTGATCCTGCTTTGCATTGAATTGACATCTAGCTCTTTCTGCAGTAGAAGAACAGCTGTGGTACTGGTGACCCATAGTGCACAGGAAGATTGGCTGCCCATCCTAAAATTACAGCGTTGGGCAGTCTGGGAATCGGGAGGACTGAGGGAAAACTGGGTGACAAACGGCATTGCCACGTAACTTTAAAGGTCTAAAAGAGGGCTGAGACCCAGAAAGATGCAAATAATGTTTTCTCCTAAACTATGCAAAATTTGGTATACAAAATAAAATGCATGATTATTGTATAGATGCCCAGAGTTTCCAGTTAAAACAAATTAGTAGGGACACTCATTGAATAATTACTGACAAGTGGAGCACTCTGCGTGAACCTAATAAGTGGGGCCAGTAATTCTCTGTATTTTTGCAGCTTACATTACAAAGAAATGTACTAAATGTGTTTAAAATGTCTTTCTTTCTCTGTATTGTTTCATATACCTTTGCAATATGCAGTCTTTTATTAAAGGACCACTATAGTGCCAGGAAAACAAACTCGTGTTCCTGGTACTATAGGGTCATTAGGTCCCCCCCACCCTCAGCCACTTACCTTTCTCCAGCATCGGACTCTCTCGGCGCAGGGGAACTCTCCTCCCTCTGCCGACGTCAGCTCCTAATGCATGGCAAGAGCCGTGCGTGCGTTCAAACCACCCATAGGAAAGCATTACTCATTACTTTCCTATGGACATCGAGCATCTTCTCACTCTGATTTTCACAGTGAGAATTGCGGAAACGCCTCTAGCAGCTGTCAGTGAGACAGCCACTAGAGGCTGGATTAACCCTCAGTGAAACATAGCAGTTTCTCTGAAACTGCTATGTTTTTAGCTGCAGGGTTAAAACTAGAGGGACCTGGCACCCATAACACTTCATTGTGCTGAAGTGGTCTGGGTGCCTATAATGGTCCTTTAAATATCCACAAGTTTTAACATGTTGGCTCTCTATGACTTTCAGTAAAACATGTACATTGATATAGTAGGTAATTTAGAACTCTTGGAGAATCACAATGTAATTATTTAATACAATGTTAAATGTGCGCAAACGACACAGATATTTACTTAATTACATTCCAGCTATGTTCAGTTCTGCTTTTGTGGAGGGATGGAAAAATAATGTAAAATAAATAGAGATCTTGACTTTTCGTTACCTAGTGATTTGTGGGTGTAAGAGACCATGATGCTTGGTAGCATTTATCTGAATGTATTGCTTACTCAAAGGTCAGTGGCCCACAATTCCTATGAATCATTCTTTTCATGTTGAGCTGACCCTTAGATAGAGAATTAGTTCCCATGGAAACATGGGTAGAGTACTTCACAGAATTTAGATGAACGTGTGATAACCAATTTGACACTAAAGCTAAAAAGATTTTTAAATGCCAGGTATTGTTATATTTTATTAGTGAGTTTTTCATTACTTCATTTAAGAAAAATATTTCTTGTTTGCTTTAAAACAAATCAAGATCTGTGGGGGTTTGGGAAAAACCATTAAAATTCAATATTAAATTATATGTCATTTTAAAGAAAATAACATTCACTCTATTGGCAAATTTCAGTATCAAGGTTTTAAACCTTCCAAGTTTGCGACAGAGGAAATTGGGTTGGGGTGGACATTCCAAGGTGGTTCTCCAGTGATGCTACATGCAGAAAGTAGGTGGTCCACGCTAGGCTCACAGACAGCCTCCATTCCGGCCCCCTCTATTAACGTCCATTAAGAGTGAGAGTGCTGCTGAAGCACTCTCTGAAGTGTCCTAGTAGCCACTGCACAGTACAAACGTGTCTATTGATGTGGATGATAACAGTTTTCTTGTGTTCCCAGATGTGGGACACCAGAGAACAAAACTGGGATGGGGGAGCAGGACTCCGACTTCAGGACTGTTCCACCAAAAGCAGAACTGTTTGGAAGCATGAGGTTTATTTAGTGCAATTGGAATTGGTTGAGATCATTAATATTAATAATCTTAGCCAAAGTGGAGGAGCAGCAGCAATGAGAGAAGTTCTCTGAGGGAAGTAGGGTTAGTAGTAAAAGTTCCCTTTTAAATGCCTGCATTGGAGGTGGACAGCTAGATAGGTAGTAGCGTTAGGAATACAGGTTTGTATCCCTAACATTATACTGTTCCTTTAATGAATCAATAAAAAATATGCTTTATTGTGATGCTCAAATTTTATATATTAACTGCCTTATTCTTTGATATCTAAACATTGATTTGCGTTCTGACGTTATAGTATTAACAACATCTTATTGCCACCCCTGGAGACACAAAAGCCTTATCTAATATACCATATAACCTAACTTAATTTAGGTTAAACTAATGCTAAAAATACTGGTTTCTGAGGCACTGGGACATACCTTTTCTGTCCTGTCTAACACTGAAGGGATCCACATTCAAATGTACCAGACACTAACTGCAACTGCTGGCCTTAAAGGGACACTGTAGGCACCCAGACCACTTCAGCTCATTGAAGTAGTTTGGCTGCTGTGTCCCTTTTGAACAGAATGCTGCAATGTAAAACATTGCAGTTCCAGGGAACTGCAATGTTTACATTGCAGCACTAAGTCTGCCCTTACTGGCTGTCTACCAGACAGCCACTGGGGGCGCTTCCAGAATCATAACAGCCTTTTGGTCCATTATCTGACGCTGAACGTCCTCACGCTCTGCATGAGGACCTCCAGGGTCAGCTTTTTCCCCATAGGAAAGCACTGACTCAATGCTTTACTATGGGGAGGTCTAATGCGCGTGCGCGGCATTTGCCGTGCATGCTCATTAGACTCTGCTAGCCGCAGGACGTCGAATGGGAGGGGTTCTGACCCAGCACCGAGGGCCATCGGCGCTGGGATAAGGTAAGTAAATAAATAGATTTTAACCATTTACCCGAGAGGGGGGCGCGAGGGAGGGGTGAGGCAGAGGGATCGGCAGTGCCAGGAATACAGCTTTGTATTCCTGGTATTACAGTCACTCATTTATCCATTACTGACATGCTGGTAGAGGGCCTGTCAAGAGAAGTGACAGTGTGCTTTTTTCCCTCTCTTGGTGCAAAAATAAATAAATAAATAAATAAATAAAAAGTAAAGTGATCAATGTTTAAAATGTAGCTATTGGTATACATAACAATTTTGCACTGCACTGATCACTTGTTTCAAGCATTTTAGAGCTAGCCCTTATGGAGCTCAAAAGATGTATGGCTGACCTTAGATTACATCAGCTGGGGCATCCCAGTGTCTGGTAGCATCTGTTGCAGTTACTTTCTACTGATTAAGACCAAGATTGGCATCTTTCTCCAGAGGAGGATATGTGACCTACAGGAGGCCTTCTCACAGTTACCACAAGGGAGCCAGCTGATCCCTCATCTTGTTGCCACACGCTTCAGTGGAGATCACTCCATTCTCTCCCTCCTACTACTGGGGCAGATCTGTGCTACATTGGCGAAGTACCTGCAACCAAAAACCAATAGAAGCCTGCCTACATGCATAAGATGATGGATGCTATGTGCAAACCAGCACCACAAGCCCTGCAACTGACTTTCATAGAAAAGCTGGATATCATATTTGCGACCTTTTGGTCTACACTCACTCAACATCAGATCACTTCTGAAGTAGTCCTGATGGCGCCATCCTTGCATCGGTCCACCCGGCAGACATTGGCTCCTGGTTGAAACTTCCATGCAATCCTAAAAGCGGTGAGGCATAAGTGGATACCGCGGAAAGTGCTTATGTGCCAAATGCTTGGTCCTTTTGTGAATCTCCACCTTCCTTGACTGCAACCCTGATCAGGACAGTCACATGGACACTCCTGGGGCTTGGAGCTGGTGGGATACGGATATGCAGGATATGAGTCTTCTCTATTGCCGGGGCAGTATCCATTGTATGATGGGCGTGGGTTGAACCCACTGGTCTAGACCCATAGCGCTCTACCTTACTGTGGCACCCGTTTCTTATTATTTCTTTATCCCTTGTTTTACCTGCTGCTAGTTTTTCACCTATGCCTGGCGATTAATCTATATGACCCATCTAGACATGTTTGCCTATGTTGTTTTTTTCCTTTGTTTTATACTTTTCAACAAAAAGAAAAAAGAGGCAGTCTTGCTTAGGAGCATTACTGTGTTAATGATAATGCTTGTGCCTTGCAATTTGCAATTACTCCTATACCCTTTCAATGTCTTATATTTCTCACATGCCTCAATAAAAGAATGATTAACAAAAATAAAAAAAATCTTGTTCCTGGTATGGGAACCGATTTGTTATGGTTTACACTCTTACTTGTGTTCCCTGCCAAGCACCAAGGGTACTTCCTGCCATGGTGATATGCATCTGCCGAGCTGCAGAAGATCGATGCCAATCTATTCATTGGCTGACAGTGTCATCAGATCAGCCAATGGATGCAATATTTCTATGCACAGAATAGATATTAACCAGCCCAGAGTTCTTGTTCCAGGCTGGTAAATGACACCCCAGTGATACTACTGGAGGTGGAGTTATGCCTCTGGCAGCAGAGGTATTAATCTACAGGTGATACTCGAAAAATCAGAATATTGTGCAAAAGTTTTACTGATTTACTGAGACTGTGGATTTGGGGTTTTCATGAGCTGTAAGCCATAATCATCGCACTTATGACAAATCACGGCTTGAACTATTTTGATTTGCATGTAATGTGTCCATCTCATATATTAGTTTCCCCTTTTACGTTGCATTACTGAAATAAATGAACTTTTGCACGATATTCTAATTTTTTGAGTATCACCTGTACATATGTGTAATATTTCAAAGCAAAATGATGGACATACAAACTCCAGGTACCATTACCACTTCAAATCAGTGAATTGGTCATTGAGTACAGTGCCTTGCAAAAGTATTCACCCCCTTGACTTTTTACCTATTTTGTTACATTACAGCCTTAAGTTCAATGTTTTATTAATCTGAATTTTATGTGATGGATCAGAACACAATAGTCTAGGTTGGTGAAGTGAAATGAGAAAAATATATACATAAAACTATTTTCTAGAAACAGAAAATTGATATGTGCCTATGTATTCACCCCCTTTGCTATGAAGCCCATAAAAAGCTCTTGTGCAACCAATTACCTTCAGAAGTCACATAATTTGTGAAATGATGTCCACCTGTGTGCAATCTAAGTGTCACATGATCTGTCATTACATATACACACCTTTTATGAAAGGCCCCAGAGGCTGCAACACGTAAGCAAGAGGCACTACTAACCAAACACTGCCATGAAGACCAAGGAACTCTCCAAACAAGTAAGGGACAATGCTGTTGAGAAGTACAAGTCAGGGTTAGGTTATAAAACAGAATGGCACATTTTGAGTTTGCGAAAAGGCATGTGGGAGACTCCCAAAATGTATGGAGGAAGGTGCTCTGGTCTCATGAGACTAAAATTTAACTTTTCGGCCATCAAAGAAAACGCTATGTCTGGCACAAACCCAACACATAACAGCACCCAAAGAACACCAGTGAATCATGGTGGTGGCAGCATCATGCTGTGGGGATGTTTTTCAGCAGCCGGGACTGGGAAACTGGTCAGAGTTGAGGGAAAGATGGATGGTGCTAAATATAGGGATATTCTTGAGCAAAACCTGTACCACTCTGTGTTGGATTTGAGTCTAGGACGGAGATTCACCTTCCAGCAGGACAATGACCCCAAACACACTGCTAAAGCAACACTTGATTGGTTTAAGGGGAAACATATAAATGTGTTGGAATGGCCTAGTCAAAGCCCAGACCAATAGAAAATTTGTGGTCAGACTTAAAGACTGCTGTTCACAAGCGCAAGCCATCCAACTTGAAAGAGCTGGAGCAGTTTTGCAACGAGGAATGGGCAAAAATCCCAGTGGTAAAATGTGGCAAGCTCATAGAGACTTATCCAAAGCAACTTGGAGCTGTGATTTCCACAAAAGGTGGCTCTACAAAGCATTGACTTTAGGGGGGTGAATAGTTATGTACATTGACCTTTTCTGTTATTTTGTCCTATTTGTTGTTTGCTTCACAATAAAAAAACAAAAAAACATCTTCAAAGTTGTGGGCATGTTTTGTAAATTAAATGATGCAAATCCTCAAACAATCCATGTAAATTTTAGGTTGTGAGGCAACAAAACACGAAACATGCCAAGGTGGTGAATACTTTTGCAAGGCACTGTATAAGGTATCCTTTTAGTCAAAATGCTAAATCATAAGACATTAAAACTGTGCATGTTCCTATGAGCTAATGCTTAAATGTTTACATTTTGGAATGTTCTAGACACTTATTAACATCTAGGCTTTTATTTGGGGACTATAGAAATAATTTGTATTTTACACTGAGGATATTTTAAGAACTAATAATTTTCCTTATTTCAATCAAGTATTAGTTCTGGCACAATGTGTAACTAGAAAAATACATTCAATAAAACCTAGAGATATCCTTTTGAGTAAATGCCATCTTTTCAATAAATATTTGGTTGATGAGTGCAACCTCTTTAATGATTAATTTATATCATGGGTACTTGAGAATGAATGAAACATTTTAATACATTTTTTTTCAGCCTGCAATCCCTGTAGACTTCACTAGAGGAGATCTTTTATAGCTGTGGAGTTTATTCAGCTTAGGTCTTGAAAAAATATTAATGCACAAGCATGTGTTCAATATTAAAAAGATAATTTTTAACTATTAAAATATTCAGCATCATGTTGCTTTCATGTACACTATTTACAAAAATGTTATACAAGAAAAACATTTATAGAGATTAATATTTTCTTTTTTTACATGCAAAATCTGATTCTTAAAACTGTATTCATCACTAGTTTTGGCCCATTTAATTAAATGCACTAAGATATATATGGTTTCGGCAATGCATTTTTGTTTTGAAGAACACAGTGGAATGTAAAAAGACACAAGGCACTAGGCAGGCCCCAGTCTGCTATTCTCATGAGAAATACAAGAATTCTAGAGTTCTGTCATCAAAAGTCTTTTCATCATCTTCTCTCTTTCAAGTTCACGCCTTAGTGCCTCAGTACTGAAAAAGAAATGTGGATATTAGATGACAATATTTTAATAGCATCTGATTGGTTGCTTGACAATTAGCTTGAGATTTTAAACTGGTATTTGAAGACAAAACTACAATCAGGTAAACTCTTTTATACTAACACAATTGATATGTTTTCATTAAAGTACATAGCTTTCTGAACATTGGCTTGTAGGTTTTTCTAGTGACATTGTAACAGTCAAAAAACACACGGGGCTTCAGCCCAAAAAATAATCGGTTGACCCCTTTCTTTCTGAAGCCCCACTCCTGGTCCTTGACTGGGCACTGACTGTGAGATGGACCCTCCTAGAGCCAAAAGGGAGATCAAAAGATCTCAGTGCTCTCAGTATCTCAGTACATGGAAGGAAAGTATTGAGCATAGATAACTTTACGAGCTGCCTCACAGTTTCAGCACGTCCCACTGTCTCAGAGCACAACAACCAGTAGTCTGATCCTCTGACTAAGTGTGACTCTTAAGGTGATCTTCACAAGATAGAGTTGCAGACCACAACACTTCCTACTGGACTACTGAAGAATGCCCTCAATACCCTCCAAATGACCTTCAGGTGATTATGCCCTCTATTTGTGAAAAGGCCACCCAACACACACTCAGCCTCTCCCCCACCATGCTCAGCACAGTCACACACAAACAAACACACCACCACAAAAAACACTCCGTGTCCCCTCCACATACAAAATTTAGCCACACACAGTCACACTCAGTCTCCACAAAAAACACTCCGTGTCCCCTCCACATACAAAATTTAGCCACACACAGTCACACTCAGTCTCCACACAAGGCACACCAAATGACCTTCAGGTGATTATGCCCTCTATTTGTGAAAAGGCCACCCAACACACACTCAGCCTCTCCCCCACCATGCTCAGCACAGTCACACACAAACACACACACCACCACAAAAAACACTCCGTGTCCCCTCCACATACAAAATTTAGCCACACACAGTCACACTCAGTCTCCACAAAAAACACTCCGTGTCCCCTCCACATACAAAATTTAGCCACACACAGTCACACTCAGTCTCCACACAAGGCACACCAAATGACCTTCAGGTGATTATGCCCTCTATTTGTGAAAAGGCCACCCAACACACACTAAGCCTCTCCCCCACCATGCTCAGCACAGTCACACACAAACACCACCACAAAAAACACTCCGTGTCCCCTCCACATACAAAATGCATTGTGCATTCTGTGTAGAGCCTTACAGAATTTTAATCTGACACCGAGTGGATAAGTATGTCCACTAGTTACTTTTAGTAATACAACAACCTCAAAATTTTGCATACATAACAATATTTTTTTTTGTTCTCAAAAGTATTGAGCGACAGGTATTGTGTGAAATAAGATGAATTATTTCAGAAAAAAAATTCAACCATAGCTCTATTATAATGTCATTATATTTAATCTTCTGATTGTGAAAGCCTAATGGCTGTGAAATTCATAGCTGTGGTATTATGTGGCAACTAACCTTCCTACATTTTTTTTTGCTAAGGTGTTAAAAAACTTGGACTGTGAGTCAGTCTCGTTCAAGATGCTAAAGTAAAATGGTGGAAGCCATCTCCAATAAGGCAGAAGCACTCTTTAGGTATATTTTTATTTGTACCTTAATGACTTACCGGTACATTTGCTGATGATTTCTCAAGTGCAGCATATAAATTACATGTGCATACCTCCCTCAAGTTGACCTGATTATCCAGAACTACTATGGACAACACAAAATCTTTCCTAAAATTTTATTTTGAAATGCATAAGGCATTTCAAATTGTACAGCGCTACAGAATTCGCTGGCGCTTTATAAATAATAAAATAATAATAATGGTTAAATATGAAATAGTTTTTCTGTCTTCTCATACCATTGGATTGATATATAATCCTTTCTGACAGATCCCCCTGCACTAATGAGTCAGGTTTGCTCTTGCAAAGAGAATGTGGCAATCAGAGGTACAAAATTAAAAAAACTTGGAAGTTTGATGTAAACGAATTAAAATGGCACTACTAAAAGGGACAACTGCAATGTATTCTAAATATATTAATAGAAGGTGCTCTTGCTTTGTATACAGGAGCACTATCATTAATGATTTTAAAAAGACTTTAAAGTATCACCTGTACATATACACAGTAAACTATAAAAAGACATACACAGTAAACTAACCATTCAAGGTTTACTGCACATGTGCAAACTGATTCTATTTTATTTCATATTGCATATGCAAATGTATCTCATATTCATTTCGGAAAGCAGGTAACGCCAAAAAATGTCTATTCTGGTTGTAGTGGGTTCTGTAGCAGCCTAAGGATAATTAGAAAGGAAAGTAAAATCTTCCTTGGATTGTCCTATACATGCAATTTAAGCAAGCATTCATCTGGATTCGTAGCACGCAGGAACCACTTTTGCCTCGTTAAGACTCATCCTCTGCCTTTTCAAAGTATTTGCTGACGGCAGTATTTATGCATAAGTTATACCTGTCCATGGTTGAGATATGTAAGGGGTGACTTGTCAGCCCTGTTTGTGCCTGGTGCATTAGTGGTCTTGTTGGGGGCATCATGTGAATTGATGGCGACAATCTCTTTGGAGATGACAATGCAGAAGAATACTGTTGCAGAGGAGTTTCTAATAAATCTACCTGGAGAAAAATAAGCAATATAAATTATTTTCTTTTTTCAGAAACCGAGATGAAAAGGATTTTGACAACGTGATTTCTATTACAAACTAGCATCTCACACATATCCAAAATCAGATGTGATTTGCTGGGTGGCTTTTCAATTTCCTTTAGAACAGTAATTTAAGGAATCTGTTCAGGGTCGGATGCTGGCATTTTTAATAAGATATCTATTAACACTCCTATTCTATATGTTGTAAGATGTGCAAATAGTTTTTCCATTGTGCAGAAAATCTTGCTTCTTGACCAGAGACATTTTAATGATCTGGATGACAACATAGGAAACACATTATTACCCTGGAACTCTGTACAGTAATCAATAGTGTCTGGCTGTGAACTGTCAGCAAGTGCAAAGTGACTTAATGAACAACATGTTTCTTTTTCTGGAAGCCCTGGCAACTAATTCACGGCCATTTTACATGTGTTGATTTACCTGTCATCTAAAACAACAAAAACCTGTTATTTCATAATTTCCAGAAAATGCAACTCCTCAGCTACATGGGACAAGAATCCACATAATCCGCATATTTAGACTCTAGTTATCTAGAGAAGCATACTTAGACTTGTGTTGAACTGTAGCTGGAGTGTCACATGTCTAATAACTTTTAGATGTCTATCAGAGCTCAGCCTTCAATATTCAACATGGTTAAATAACATTAACTATCTAACTGATCTGTACAATAATTAGAACATAAGAAGATACACAACAATGCATAGCTATCATATATGTTGAGATAAGTGCTAGAAAAATAGATATGTAAAAATCACAGTTAGCACTAAAATACTCTTGATTTCCACCCACTGAAAAATATATCTGTGAGTGTATATCCCCCTTTTTATGACATTTTGGTTAAGAGGTATGACATGACAAGAGGTTTCATATTCTGCTATACTCTCATTGCTCAAATCTCTGCCATTTAGACATTAAATCAATTTTGTTTCTGTTTCTGCAGCCCTAGCCACACTTCCCTTGGCTGTGACTCACACAGCCTGCATGAAAAATGTTTATTTTTTCAATCAGATGTGACAGCACAGTTTGATTACTTCAGAAGTAAATTGTATCTCCTACCCTGTTAATTGAACTTTACTTACACAGAGGAGGTTTATGCAAGCTCTAGAAGGCTATCAACAGAGCAGGAGATAAGAAATTCTAAATTAAGTAAACTGCAAAAAAATAATTGTAAAAATTAGATCTCTCTTTACAAGAAATGTGTACAAAGAATATGTAAGTCACATGTAGGGGAGTTGTGGCTACCGACACATGAACAAAGAGATTTAACAGAAAACTAGACTAAATTAAAAACAAACAGACTACAGGGACACCATCTACAAACCAAAAACTCTCCATTAATGTAATGTTGTTTTGGTGCTTATAGTGGTTTTCCTGGCACTACAGCTTTCTCCTTTGTCAAGCCCCGCCTCCCCCTCCTGCCCCATGGTGCAGAAGGAATTAATAACCCTGTTCCTTACCTTGGCCCAGCGCCAATATCCCTCAGCTCCGCCCATGTTCCTCTCCTGCCGACGTCTGCCGGTGGGGGAGACCTAATGCACATGCGCTTGCATTAGGGTTTCCCCACTGGAAAGCATTATTCAGTGCTTTCCTATGGGGATTCCGGTGACGCTGGAAGCCCTCATGCATAGCGCAAAGACGTCCAGCCTCTTTTTGGTGACCAAAAGTCGTCTAAGCATTTGGAAGTCCCTCTAGTGGCTGTCCGATAGACAGCCACTAGAGGAGGAGTTAACCCTAGCATGTAATTATTGCAGTTTATAAAAACTAATCACAAAATTCAAACAACATACTCACCCCAAAAGTACAGTACTTAAAATACAATAAAATGTTACCCTATTGGAATGCATATTGTAGAACACCAAATGTTCCTCAAGTTCGTCAGAAAATATAACATAAAAAAACAAGTATCTACAATAAAAGAAAAACAGGACCACACAGAGTAGTAGTAGAGTGAAACACTGAGAAGGGGTGGTATTCAATGTTAAACTCACAAAATTAAGTTAAAATTAGGCTCATCTGGTGTATAGATGTATTCTTAGTTAAATCCAATAGACGTGAATCTGGTTACCTCAAATTAAATATGCATGCAAAATAAAAATAAAAACAACATAGTGCAACACTGTCTAAAATTATAACAAATTACTTTTATTGGTCACACTTACAAAAATCTTTCAAATCAAATGCCCATCATCAAATCTTAAAAGAAACTGGAATGATGATAAAGTGTGTAATGGAACTCCCTGTACCCCTGGCTGCGTACCTCCAACAAGGACTGCTTCCTAGCTGGAACAGGGGAGAAACCACAGCACTTCTGCCCACAGTCGCCGTGGCTTGACTGGGGTTCTGGAACTGATCCTTCCTGGCGCCAAATGGGGAATTCGCTCTAGACACCCCCAGGCACTGGCGACACTCAGTACTGGGAGCTCTAGTGCTTACAAGGACTTTCCCCTTTGAATCCTCCACACTGGAACAGTGATTAAAGAATAGCCCTTTCCCCTCCCAGTAACCCGATGACTCATAGTTCGGGGAGTACAAGCTGGAATACATTTATTGGCAGCCACAACTGGCCTTATATGCAGGTACCCATGCAAGGGGCACTCCCCCCTGGACCAGAGAGTAGACTACAGTAAAAACATACACACAATTACATTGACTCTCAGGTCCAGGACACTCCCATACAAAACAAGATAATCACTCCCCTGTGACTGGGAGAAAATTAAGTCAAGCACTGTATAACAACCAATTTAATACTTTACACACATTTCCCAAACACCCCAAAAGTACCTTAAAAATACATAAAACCCTCTTACATCCCCTGATAGCCTCGATCTGGGTGACCAACATATCCAAAAATCACCCAGATCAGTTCAGGATTTTCCTGGAAGTCATAATTTGACCGACCACACGCATGGTTCTATGCCCAAAATAGTTCCATAGAATCGCGGCTAAGTGCCACTTGGGACCGACCGTGAACCGCAAAGTCTTCATGCTGAAAACAGCTCCAGCAGCTAAGTCCCCCTGAAGTCTATTCGCGGTTTTTGGCCATACGAACGGCTGCCAGGAAGCTGTTCTTTGCGCACAAATGGAAAGTGCCGTACCAGGGAAAAAAAAATGGGTCTATACAGTCACTGACCTAGCTCCTAGTCGGTGGGAAGGAGGCCAGCTTCAGGAGTCCATGGGAAACGTCTGGGTCTGTGTTAGTCTGGTGACCCTTCCCAAAAGGGTTAGCTGTAAAGAGGGCCACCTGCCACAAGCTTCTGTTTGTAAATCCAGGGTCCTGCTGGGGAGGAAAACTGCTGCACTCCACTCCATGTAGACCAAGTTGTAGCTGGGGATGAATGATGCAATTCTCCCCACTCCCTGCAACTTGCAGTGCCGCTAGGGAGAGAGACCGGTTGTCTCCTCTCTTTTTAAAAAGCCCTGCCACTGGGAAGAGGGACCGGCCACCTGGAACACACACTGCTTCTGGGAATGGAGGACGATACTCTCTTCTCCCTGGGTTGCACACTGCTGCTGGGGAATGAGGCCGACTGTCTCCACTCCCAGTAACACACTGCCGCCGGGGAGTTAGACTGACCGTCTCCACTCCCAGTAACCCCTGCTGCTTTTGGGGAGTGAGACCGACTATGTCCCCTCCCTGTATAGTACCCTGCCGCTGTGGAGAGAGGACGATACGCTCCTCTCCCTGTAATACACACTGCCGCTGGGGAGTGAGACTGACCATCTCCACTCCCAATAACTCGCCCTGCCGCTGGAGAGTGGGACGCGTTGTCTCCACTCCCTGTAACAAACTCGGCCGCTGAGGAGTGAGACCGACCGTCTCACCCTGCTGCTAGAGATGGAGGATGACACTCTCCTCTCCCTGTAACTTTGTCTGCCGCTGGGTAAAGAGATCGACCGTCTTCTCTCCCAGTAACGCACTCTGCCGCTTAACAGGAAGGAGGACACACTACCCTCCCTGTAACCCTGTCTGCCGCTGGGGAGAGAGACCGACCGTCTCCTCTCCAAATAATACACTCTGCTGCTGGGGAGGAAGGGCAACACACTTCTCTCCCTGCAACTCTGTCTGCCGCTGGGGAGAGAGACCACTTGTCTCCTCTCCCTGAATGATACACTGCCACTGGGGAGAGAGACCGACTGTCTCTTCTCCCAATAACACACTCTGCCGCTGTGGAGGAAGGCTAACACACTTCTCTCCCTGTAATTTGCTCTATCTCCAACCCCACTCCTAACATCTCCATCTGGGGTTGGAGATCTGGGCAGGCTGCTCAACATCCCTGTAGGGCCGGTGGAGAGACCTCGGTCCCATCTCCACCTGCAAACTGGGGGTCTTCCCAGGACCAGTCGATAAGGTTTCTTATCTCTGTGGTTGGTTGGGAAGTAGGTGGTACTGTCCAGGTTTTCAAACCCTAGGGGATCCTCAAAGGTCTCCCACAACAGCCCAGGCCCAACGTAGTCCTTTCCCTCGAGGAGCTGGTAGTGGAGTAGCCCTGGGTAGAGGTGGCCTGCATGCCACCTCAAGGCCAGGTAGGATTCATCCAACAATAACTCAATTCCGACCAACCGCTCCAGTTCTCTTACCCACTAGGGGCTGCTCTCCCAGAAACGGCATCAGTAGGTCGAATTGGTCCCATAGGCATTGGTTGGAGTCTGGGAAAATTTCTCCTAGGACCCCCACCCAGAATTCGGTTCGGAGCATCACCCTCCATTGCGTCTCTTTTTCTGCTGAGATAGGGTAATCCAAACTGAGCGGAACTTCCTGTAACTGCAGCTGAAACTGGGTGTCGATGTTGAATATTGCCTGACGGTACTTGCCTCCCATCTCTGAAGTAGTGCTAGTTTCACACAGAAAGGAAGCCATCCCACCGCTGCCAACCACCCTGGCTGGGTACCTCTGCCAGGAACAGCTTCCTAGCTGGAGAGGGGACAAACCGCAGCACTTCTGCCCACAGTCGATGTGGTTTGACTGGGGTCCTGGAACTGCTCCCTCCTAGAGCCGAATGGGGAATTCACTCTAGACAGACCCCAGGCCCTGGATAACACTCAGTCCTGGGAGCTCTAGTCCTTATAAGGGCTTTCCCCGTTGAATCCTCCACACTGGAACAGTGATTAAAGAATAGCCCTTTCCCCTCCCAGTAACCACACAACACATAATTCTGGGAGTACAAGCTAGAATACATTTATTGGCAGCCACAACTGGCCTTATATGCAGGTGCCCATGCAAGGGGCACTTCCCCCTGGACCAGAGAGTAGACTACAGTAAAACCATACACACGATTACATTGGCTCTCAGGTCCAGGACACTCAATACAAAACAAGATAATCCCTCCCCTGTGCCTGGGAGATAATTGAGTCAAGCACTGTAATAAACTCAATTATCTCCAGGCACAGAAAACACACGTTTCCCAAACACCCCAAAAGTATCCTAAAAGTTACATCCCCTGATAGCCTCGATCTGGGTGACCAACATATCCAAAATCACCCAGATCGGTTCAGGGTTTCAGGATTTTCCTGGAAGTCATAATTTGACCGACCGCACCATGGTTCTATGCACAAAATAGTTCCATAGAATCATGGCTAAGTGCCATTGGGGACCGACCAGGAAATGCAAAATCAATCATGCCGAAAATAGTTCCAGGGCATTCGCAGCTAAGTCCCCCTGAAGTCTATTCTCGGTTTTTGTCCATGCGAATGGCTGTCAGGGAGCTAATGTTCGGTTTTATGCACACGAATGGAAAGTGCCGAACCAGGGGGAATAAAAAAATGGGTCTTTACAGTCGCTGATGTGGCCCATAGTCGGTGGGCAGGAGGCCAGCTTCCACACTCCTGGCAAATGTCTGTGGAAAGTGTTTGGCACAAAGTGCAATATTCAAAGTGCAATATTCAAAGAGCTTCTCACTTGTCCTTCTCTATCAGGTCCTACCTCCAAGCCACAACCCGCGCCCAGTCACCGCAGGGGGAGATGGAGGCCGCAAGCCTATCCCTTGAGTCACTCCCATCCATGCCGGCCAGATTCTCTCAGCACCGTCTCACACATCAGACTCACAGCAGCAGCCAGACGGTGAGTGGAGGGACATATTGCCCAACCTACTGACCAAATCTGATTGTGAAGCACTATCTGATCACCTGGGCCGCGTGGTCCGCAAGGAGGTGGTCCAGCTACGCGCTGATATGGCAAATGTAGAAGCCCGCAGGGCAGTGGCAGAGACAGAGACACGAGCACTAAGAACGGACCTAGAACAGACCAATACAACGGTCACGAATCAAGAAGCTGACATAGCCTACCTAACAACATGGGTGGATGACTTAGACAACCGCGGCCGCAGAATGAACTTGCGCCTCCGCGGGATGCGTGAGGGGGGCCAGTCTGAAAACATACCAGAACTTCTACGACAAATCTTTACCCAAGTACTGGGGGGCCAGCACATACCCAGAATAGGCCTGGTCCGCGAACACAGGGCGCTGAGACCCATACCGGCACCAGAAGAACAACCAAGGGACATAATACGTATCTTGACAACTACCACCTTAAATTAGAAATACTACACACAGCTCGCCGCATGGGGACAGTCCGCCAGGAAGGTCAGACCATATCCATATATCAAGTCCTATCCTGCTACACCCTACAAGCCAGGACAGCCCTACGTCCAGTAACATCTGCCCTGCAACAGGCCGGCGTGCCGTACCGCTGGGGATACCCATTCTCGCTCGCGGCCAGACACGGACAAGACCAACTGATAATACGAAAGCCGGATGATGTCCCGGGATTTCTACGCACCCTAGGCCTCCCGCTGCAACGGGTACCAGATTGGCTGACGAGATTGTTCCTGCAACAACCGCCAGGGCCACAACAATAATCACGCAGACCCCAAGAGGACCAGCTCCAGGCACAATAATTAATACCTGAAGCGCCAAGGAGGAGGGAGACAGGACTTTTGGGGAGGGGGACAGTGGGCAGGCCCTCAGTGCACCTCCACTGAGACAAGAACAAGGACACAAAACGGGAGGCCGCTCAGGACGTTGTAATGATGTGGCACTGACAAACGCTCTGCTGGGGGAGGAGGAGGGAGAGAAGAGGGAGGGAGGGGAGGGAGAGGGGACATGGAGTAATGGGACCAAAGGGGAGAGTGAGGGAACCACGATACGAGCTGGAAATGGGAGCGGAGGGGGATGGGAAAACAGAGAGAGGAAGGGTGGGGGGAAGAACAGGCAGAAGCAAACTGAACCACAAGGACAGGGGGGGAGGGGTGAGGAAGGAACTACAGCAAAGGGGTAGGAGGGGGGGTACACACCCCCCCAAAGAAAGGGGGGACGACGACAAGATAGCTAACACATACAAAACTCTCTGGTGAAATGCCAAGCAGCAGTCTAGGAGGCAGAGCGCCCAGGCACAACCTGTATGCTACGGAGGGCAAGTACAATGCCCCAGCAGCGCGCCAAAGACGCATGAAGCACAGACACGGGAAGGGAAACAGATAGCAAGTGCAATGGGCTAGATGTTCCACCAAACTTGCAGATAGGCGTACAATGCAACATTATCATAGGGGGACTGAAATGTTCAATGTACAGTTTTAACTGATAAATATGTGATTTCCTGTGTACACCTGAACCACGAAAGCGCCCGACCAAACCAGACACGGAGCAAGACCAGAGATGTACACCAGACAGCACTCCCTACCCAGGGACCCAGACAGGGCAGGGTAATGATAGCGACACAGCTACCGTAGAGAGACAGAGGCCCCACTCCCGAACATACCAGAACCCCACACTACGCAGCAACAGGTGACACAACATGGGCTAGGGAACAACACCCCCCCCAGAGCCACACAGGACCAACTCGGCCCACCAGGCACCCCCATACCCACAGGCCCCCACCGCACGAGACCGCTAGACCCTGATCAAACGGCCCTTAAACGGCACGGTTCACAAAGTAAAATCCCTCAAAACACGATAGACCCAAGGCGGCACTAACCCCGAAAGCGATAGCCGTCTGCTGACGGCAGAGATAGTTTCTGCAATAACCAACACACCACGCACCCACCGACCCATGCTCAACCCAAAATGAGAGACGGAGCGGGCACTCCAGACACACAGCCACTTAGGAGACGAAGGACCAAGAACCACGTACAGTATAACCTATCACATACGGCACACAAACGGACTTAAAAGATGTCACGCAGCGGACTGATCCACCGTGGACGGAAAGCCCGATACCCCCACAGGCATAGGACACAGGACTCCCCATTTGTCAGGGGAAGCACAACTCCCGGAACAGACCCAAACCCATCAACTGGTCAGGCCTAACAGTCAAACTACCGGGATGACTGTCCATTAACCTACAGACCCAAAGATACACTACAGACAACACAAACCCACGCAGCACACGCTCCGAACCCGGTCAAATCCGTGACCACACTATACCACACACACACGTATATACCCTAGCCCTACCCCCCCAACTAACCCTGTCCGCCCCAGCGGATATGTCAGAGAGGACTTAAGTATAATCTCCTACAATGTGCATGGACTAAACGTCCGGGAGAAACTCACAAGACTTCTGCGAGACCTGAAACACTACAAGGCATCAATAGCATTTCTCCAAGAAACGCACTTTCAAGAGGGCAGAACGTCGGCACTGAAAGATCGCAACTTCCGAACGGGATACTTCAGCAATAATCCGGACAGACGCACGCAGGGTGTAGGCATCTTCTTCTCTAGCAGAACCCAATACACGGAACAAGCCACCCTCTGGTGCACACAGGGCAGATATATCTTCACTAAAGATACACAAAACAATATCAATTCCTCCGGAACACATTGAGCGCCCTGATGAAATTTGCGGAAGGTACTCTGATCATTGGGGGAGATCTCAACCTGGCACTACACCCAGACCAAGATTCCACATCTACATATAGAACTCCACACAACAGACACACAAACACACTCTGCCTTATACATCACCACCAATTGACAGACTGCTGGAGAGCGCTGCACCCAACAGCCCAAAACTATACCTTCTATTCAAAGACTCACTCAACGTATACGAGGCTGCACTACTTCCTAATGACCTATCAAAACCTGACCCTGCTCAATGCAGTGGAAATCCTGCCAATGACTTGGTCGGACCACTGCCCAATCCGCATGTGGGTGAAATCACCTCTGTTCAAACCCCGACAGATGTCCTGGAGACTAAACGAATCAATCCTCTCAGACGTGACGGTGACAGACAAGATCAGCCACACCATACGAGACTACTTTCAAGACAATGAGACGGGGGACGTGACACCACTGACCTGCTGGGAAGCACACAAGACGGTAATACGAGGCCATTTCATAGCAATGTGCGCAATCCGCAAAAAGGCGGTGATACAGGAGATGACCGAGCTTAGAAGAGACATTGCGACCCTGGAAGCCAGACACAAACGCACACTTGACGCAACAACATACAGAGACCTAACAGCCAAACGTAACCAACTCACCACGCACCTTAACCGAATGATCCAACGTTCCTATCAACACTACAGGCACATGATCCATGCACATGGAGATAAATGCGGGAGATTACTAGGTAACCTTCTGAAACAACGTAAAACCCAACTATATATTCCGTAATTCAAGGATGCACAGCAACAACTCAGACATCTCCCAGACCAGATAGCAACAGCGTTCCACACGTACTACCAAGACCTATACCACCTCGCCGAGACGCACCGGAAGAACCGCCCACACAAAATAGTAGACATACACAGATATCTGGATTCAGCAAACCTACCAGGAATAACAGAGGTCGACCAAGAAACACTAGAGACGCCCATAATGCTCTAAGAACTGACACGCTATCAAAAAAACAAAAACGGGCAGGGCACCAGGACTGGATGGGCTGCCCCTCCAATACTACAAGGTCTTCGCACAGGACGTCCTACCGAAACTGCTAAACGCCCTGAATTCCAAAAAAGAGGGAGCCGCACCAACAACCCAATTCACCTCGGCGAACATTACCCTGCTCCCAAAGGAAGGAAAAGGCCTTCATTATGCCCAAGCTACTGCCCGATCACCAAGCTGAACACTAACATCAAACTCTTGTAAGCATCCTGGCGACACGACTGGCACCACTACTGCCAGCCACAATCCATCCTGATCAAACGGGATTCATACCGGGCAGAGGGGTGAGGGGCAACACCATCAGAGCCCTGAACATCATAGCACACGCCAGAGTACAAAAGACCCAGATCCTCCTCCTGTCAACGGACGCGAAAAAGGCGTTTGACAGGGTGAACTGGGACAAGATGCTTGAAACTCTCCAGACATTCGGTATAGGACCAAAATACCTCACCTGGGTGAAGGCGCTATACACTTGCCCAACGGCACAAATCCAAATTAACGGAGCACTGACAGACCTGTTCCGGATATACAACGGAACCAGGCAGAGTTGCCCACTTTGGCCCTTAATCTTTGCACTGACGCTGGAACCATTCCTGAGCAGGATCAGGCAGAATGCAGACATACAGGGTCTCACAACTGGAACCACACACCACAAAACCTTAGCATACGTGGACGACATGCTATTTGTAGTCACAAACCTGGAGACCTCCCTACCGGCAATACAGACGGAGTTCGAAGAATATGGGCAAATCTCCAACCTCATAATCTAATAAACTATTCAAAATCAGAGATCCTAAACCTAACCATCAACCACACCCTCAGACAAACACTTCAGGGGCGACACCCCTACTGCTAGTGCGATCAACGCATGCGATATCTGGGGGTATGGCTCACACCTAACACAGTGGACCTCTAAACACAAAACTACCTCCCCATATTAAAAAAAGCGACAGAGGAACTACATAGATGGAGCTCATACTACATATCATGTCTAGGAAGAGTAAATGCAGTCAAGATGACACTACTGCCCAAACTACTCTTCATGTTCCAAACAGTGCCGATACTAGCTCCACAAATATTCTTCACGGCTCTGAAGGCAGAGGTCCGCACGTTCATATGGAAGGGCAAATCCCCACGCATAGCACACGCCCAATTAACCCTACCTAAACTCTGAGGGGGCCCGACGCTCCCAGATTTCGAAAAATATTACCATGCAGCACACCTCACCAGAGTCGTCAGCTGGTCGTATGCCAGCGTCACAAAACCATGGACCCAACTGGAATCTGACACTACTAAATGCGACCTCCGCACCCTGCCATGGATCCCCAGGGCAACATACAGGCAAAAAAACATCACCAACCCATTCGTGGCGGCAACCATGAAGATCTGGCACAGGCAGGGCACGAAACAATACCTGACAACGGATCCGGGCCCGCTGCTACCGCTAAGGGGCAACCCAGACTTCCCAGCGGGAGACCTCGGCCCCACGCCGGGCCCAGCAGGACACACGACAACTCCCCGCATGATGGATGTCCTCCAGCACCCATTTGACTTCCACTCATTAAACGACCTATTCCCGGACAGGCCACTCACCTTCTCACACACACTGGCAAGAGCGCAAATCGCCCAATATGCTCGGTCCATCCCGCAAAAACCATCCCTGCTAAGAGAGCCTACACAATTCGAACTATTCTGCACGCAAGACAAAGAAACACTCCGTGCCATTTCGCAGATATACGCCATGTTGGTCACCAGTAGGTACCTGCTAGCACCCCCTGCATAAGAAACTGGGAGGAAGATCTAGACGAGACCATGACAGAAGCAGACTGGGACAAAAGCATCAGCCTGATACAAAAAATGCCTAGCTCAGCAAGATTGCAAGAAAACCCGTACAAGATAAACACCAGAAGGCGCTCCACGTCAGGAACCCAGAAACCCCAGACACATGCTGGAGATGCGGGGAGGAGGTAGGCATGTTCCTACACATCTGGTGGACATGCTCACGTATTCGACCATTCTGGAACGCAATTAGAGACATAATACACAAAGTAACAGACGAGATGCTCCCAAGGTCCCCTGCCACCTTTCTCCTACATCACACCAACATCACTGTATCAACATACACCAAATCTGTCATCCCACGGCTCTTGAACGCAGCCAAAGCGACCGTCCCCATCTTCTGGAAGCAGGCCATCACGCCCCCAATCACACGATGGGTGGAAGCCACTAGGAAATTCGAAGATATAAAGGTGAGTACCCCGAACCACAGAGACCGCTACACCAAACGCTGGTTCCACTGGCTACGATTAACCACCTCAAATGCTTTTCAACACTGCTTAGCAGCACAATAGCCGGGGAGGAAGAAAACCAAGACCCTGGAACCGAAGGACCGGGCAAGAGAGCGGGATGTTTTGAGCCAGGACGGCGACAGGGAACGGAACTATCCTCCATCCCCCCCCCAGGTACCCCACATACAGCCTAGCACACTACGACCCACTCACTCACACAAACACACTCCAACGGACTAATGCAGACAAGGCAACGAACCGAGAGACCTCAAAACACGAAAGAGAATGCATATCTCACACGAGCAGTCCCATACCGAACATACACTGGAAACGCACCCGACTGGCAAAGACCACTCAGTATACCGCCACCATTAGGTGACACAATAAAAACGCTACAACCACAAATAGCGACACACGTAACCCGGCACAAAACAACACATAGATAATCACGACACACAGTCAGTCAACACCACAACCAGACAGGGAAAGAAGGGCAAACACAGGAGACACAGAACCAAACAATCAGCATACCACATACACCCACACATCAAACACAGACTTACACAATCGGACCCAGATTCCACTAGATAACACAACAGACATACTAATAGGAGAACCCACCAGAACACGACACCAAACTGACCGAACGGAATCTTTATATAGGGACCGGATTATGCACATCTGGAGACGAGTCTTACTGTCGTATTACCCGAGGTGGAAATACTAGGCCTTCAGGAAGGCAATACAAACCATGAAAAGTCATCTACATACACAATAGCAGGGCAGCAGATAGAACGCCAACAGTTCTAACATCATCAACAAAGCAAAAGGATACGACACACACATAGCCACTGCAATCCAGGCCTAACTAGGTCAGAACACGCGAATAAAAAGACACATGACATGCCAGAGCTCAAAGTCACACGCAAACAACAGGAGCATACAAAACCATACCCATCGGTCTAACCTCAATCAAGGTGCACCACAAGTCATATGGAGGTAAAACACAAGCAACCAAATGTGAACCTATATGTTATGTTATTCAGGCTTAGACAAATCCGCCTCTGTGTAGGCGACAAAATGCATACATCTTTATATACCGATACTTATGCTGCTGCGTGGGAAACTACTTACTATAACACAAATATTTTTGATGTCCGTGTTTAAATTGTGATAACAATAAAAATATTCAAAACAAACTGCCCATAGGAAAGCATTACTCAATGCTTTCCTGTGCATGTCAGCGCCTTCTCACTGTAATTTTCACAAGCGGCCTCTAGTGGCTGTCAGTGAGACAGCCACTAGAGACTGGATTAACCCTCAGTGAATAATTATTTCAGATGCAGGGTTAAAACTATAGGGACCTGGCACCCAGACCACTTCATGGAGCTGAAGTGGTCTGCGTGCCTATAGTGGTTCTTTAAGGATTCGAGGTAACCAGATCCACCACAATTAGATTAGAAAAAGAATACATCTACACACCAGATGAGCCTGATTTTAACTTAATTTTGTGAGTTTAACATTGAATACACCCCTTCTCAGTGTTTTACTCTACTACTCTATGTGTGGTCCTGTTTTTCTTTTATTGTAGATACTTGTGTTTTTTGTGTCAGTTTATATAAACTGCAATAATTACCAATCTAGGCTTAAGGGTGAAGGGAGTTTGCATCCATACCATTTCAATGAAGTGGTCTGGGTGCCTACAGTGTGCCTTTAAGTCAGCTCAAGATAATCTAGTTGCGCTGGCTGGCCCCCATACATTAAAATTCTGTTGTAGCTGATAAAGCCTTGTCAAGTTGCTTCTCGATAGACCCACACAGCATAACATGATGTTGCATTTACCGTCTCTCTTCAGAATGTTGAAAGGCAGCATTGCTTCAAGGGGCAGTTTAGGCACATTAACAACTTAATTTGCATTAATATCTTCATCCAAATTAAGTTGTTATGATGCCTTATGCTGACACGAGGCCTCTGGACACACTCCTACCTGAAGGGGTTAAACTGGTTTAGAATGGTTACACCCCAAAGTTGCCTTCAGCGCCAATCTCAACTTCCCCCAGGCGGCATCTAGCTTCTAAAATTTCAGTTTCAGGAAGCATGGAGAGGTCTATTTCACAGGTGTGTGCTGATTGGCTAAGAGCGGTCAGCTGACGTTGGCAGCCAATTAGTGACTCCCCATTCACAAACCTGGCTTGAAAGAAACATACATTTTTCAAGCCAATTTTGTGAATGGAGAATCACTGATTAGCTGAGAGCTTTAGCTGAGTGATCTCAGTCAATCAGCCATGCCCCTGCCAGGCAGCATTTAGTGATTCCTGAAACTGACATTTTGGAAGCCAGTTAATGCCTGGGGGGAGTAATTGTAATTAATTTTTTTTTAGATTAAGCTGTTATGGTGCCTGGAGTGTTCCTTTAAGATGCATGACATATTGGTATATCTTGGCACAAGAGAGTTCGGTTCGGAGGCAAAATGACTTAATTGAAGAACTATAAAAGCATGGGAAGGTGTATGTATCTCTGAACAAGGTACAGACCTTCATAATGCTTGTTTTATGAGGCACACAGACTGTTTTTGGAAAGGCTAGATTGCCTCCAGACAGTTCTGACCCTCAGGCCCAAACAGACCCCAATACCCCAACAGACCACAATAAACCGATTCTTTCAGGACTCTTCTTCCTATCCTCTATGAGCTGAATTTCCATTGCATCATGCAGCTGATCACAGATGTAGAACCGGAGGATCATGACATACCAATTATCCCACGGGTAAGACCTTAGGGACAGGTTATTTCTACTGTTGGATGTATCACTCGTTTTTCCACATCTGGGTAATGATTTCCTCTGATGTTTGGACCTTACCGTTTGTTTGGGGTTACAAACTGGAATCTTGATTCCCAGAACTCTTGAGCCTGTTGATCAATGACCCTCTTCTACTCCCACACTTTGCTCTTTCGGGTAGCTTAATTTGCTGATAAAACACAATCATGTTCTTTAGGTGGCCTGGAAGATTTCAGGGGGTCTTGGAATTTTCAGGCCTATCACAATATTCTCTGGGATTCATGGGCTCCTTGGACCAGAAGATGCTACATCAGGGCTTGGGACAGATGACACAGCTAGTGATTTCCTAGGGACTTTGAACCCTTTATTGCCTCTGTAGATATACTTTTTGTCCCTTTCAGAGTGTAAATTCTACTTTTCAATAAACTGTTTTTATCAGTGAATTAGGAAGTTCTGATACAGGATATTCCTTTGATGACGAATCTGATCATTTGCTGGTTACTAAGAGCTTTTCAGTTGTTGCATCAACCAAAGCCTAAATATTCCCACATTCCACATTTTGGGATGTTTATTTAGTTTTACAATTCATGAAATTCTTGCTTGTTAATAGGTCATTACCTCAATAGCCTCTTTTGGACAAGTTGTCCTAACATTTCTATTTGGTATCCTTTTGAGGCCACATTGATTAGCTGGTTTATGTCTCTACCCGGTAATTCTCATTCCATTGGTGCTCATGCTATGTGGGCCACAGCTGTGTGAATCTCTTGGTAATTTTAAGGTATGCCAATTGGTCACACAAGTCAACCTTTTACTTTTCTATTAACCACTCTGTGTTTTCTCTCTCAGAGTTAGAACTACAAAATATGAAGCCTCCTAGATCATTTCAGCTTTGTTGTAGAAAGAAAATCTTAATTTTAAAAAAGATAAAAGATGAATATTTTTCCACCGGGAAGCATGCTTCTGAATTTTTTCCTTTTTAGCTTCCTCAGCAATTTTTCTATGTGTCACCTTGCTACTGTATTTTATGACTTATTTTCATGTCTGACTTTATGGACTTTATACTGATTCTATAGGCAAACTGAATATTCATATAAAAAAGACAATCTTTATTACATAAAGAAACAATACACTGGTAAACAATAACCAATGCCACAAAAGTCAGATAACATAAAAGAAAGTGACAAAGGCTAATTACAATAAACAGTCCTGATAAACATCAGAAAAATGTTGAAGCCCTAACACTTGTGAAATTACAACCCCAACATATAAGCACAAAGAACTGGGCCTTTCTCAAGTGACAGCCTAAAACTCACCTCACCATCCTGTAATATATACCCATTACACAGCTGAGGGCCATTACAAAATGATTCCAAGCAGACTGGACGTGAGGTCATCACGTCCAGGATGGCAAGATTAAGATGCAACACTGAAGCGGCATATAATAAATGAATCAGAAACCTTAACATCCACATTTATACCCTCATAACTTCAGTGCTTAACTTAAATGCTTATCTCAGAAAATTTGCTATTTTCCAGTCAACTTACCAATTATTAGGATTGGATCAACTGAACTTCAAACCATAGACATAATAGATTATTCTGTACTTGTGATTGTGATGCATTCATAATTCAAATTTGAGGTTTTTAATACCTGGTCATTTATTCTTAATAGCAAACCCAGTTAAATTAAAATTTTTACAAATTCTTATTTTGGGTATATCTCAGAACAACTCTGCTCTTTTAAAATCATCCTATTAACCCCACATAACCATATTATCATTTGCATGGGTCAGGGGCAGATATACTTACAGGAAATGGGGCTGCTGTTGAAAAAGGATCATAAAACGAATTGCATGGATCAGATGGGTATGTCTTTATCTGTAGTGAAGAAAGATAAAAAGAGAATGTATATAAGAGAATGCCAACATGTGTTAAATAAATAAACATAGTGGAATTAATTTTAAACTAAAATTGGACAAACTGAGTTTAAATACTTAGTATTATGTTGACATGTATTGTGTTTTGGGTAATTATTTTCTAGTTTTATTAGCATGCTTAATGTTAACCCCTTAAGACCGCAGCCAAATGTACAAGTTGTGATCAAAACAAAACGTAAACAAAACCTGGCATTTGCGCTATATATCTGTCCAACCGTAATTCATCTCTTTCATATTAAATGCACCCACACTTATTATATATCATTTTATTCAGGGGAAACAGGGCTTTCATTTAACATCAAATATTTAGATATGAAACATAATTTAAAATGAATAAAATATAAAAAAATTGGGAGAAAAGATTTGTTTAAATTTTCTTAGTTCTATGTGACATTTTAACTGTGAATGTCAAAATACTGTTTGCTTCTACTGCAATAAAATACACATATTTGTTTTCAGCGATGTCTCACATGTAAAACAGTACCCCCTATGTACAGGTTTTATGTTTTTTAGGGACGTTACAGGGTCAAATATAGCGTGTTACATTTTTCAGTTTTTTCACATTGAAATTCGCCAGATTGGTTACGTTATTGCAAATGGGGTATGTCCAGTCTTTTTTAGTAGTCACTTGGTCACAAACACTGGCCAAAGTTAGTGTTAATATTTAAAAAATGCAAAAAACTAATTTGAACACCAATTTTGGACAGTGTTTGTGACTAATTAGCTACTAAAAAAGACTGAACATACCCCATTTGCAATACTTTGGGTTGTCTACTATTGCAAATGGTATGCCATCATGGGGGTAATTTCCATTCCTGCTTACCGTACGGTCTCAAAGGCAACATAACCAACCTGGCGAATTTCAATGTGAAAAAACTGAAATGCAAGCCTTATATTTGACTCTGTAACTTTTGAAAACACCATAAAACCTGTACATGAGGTGTACTGTTATACTCGGGAGACTTCGCTGAATACAAATATTAGTGTTTCAAAACAGTAAAACGTATCACAACAATTATATCGTCAGTGTAAGTGCCATTTGTGTGTGAAAAATGCAAAAAGTGTCACTTCCACTGACGATATCGTCGTTGTAATACATTTTACTATTTTGAAACACTAATATTTGTGTTCAGCAAAGTCTTCCGAGTAAAACAGTACCCCCCATGTACAGGTTTTATGGTGTCTTGGAAAGTTACAGGGCTAAATATAGTGCTAGCAAATTACATTCCCTGAACTTTCGACCTGGGTTGTCAGGCAGGTCCTGCAAATTGTAATTAATAAAATTACCTAATTATGTCAAATTATTACATAAATATTTACGTAGAAATATTATATATACATATATATATGTATAGAATTTTTTACGATTATTTTTATTTATATATAGGTATATATATAGTGATATATACGTATATACTTATGTATATAGATATATATATTATTTCGTTCTACATGTATTTTGATATCAATATATATATATATATAATTTTAAAATACAGTTAGAACAAAATTATACATGTATATATATTTTTTATTTATTTATTATTTTTTTAATTGTATTTTTTTTTACATATTTACACATTTGTTTATTTTATATTATATATAAATATATATAATGATAATTATATATATATTTAGTCAATATCATTGTACATGTACGTTAATATAAATATATATATATAATTATATGTATATATTAATATTAAAATACACTTAGACAGTGTATGTGTATTTATGTGTATGTGTATATGTGTATATATACTTAGATCATATATATAATAAAAATATATATGTGATCTAAGTATACATTATTTAATTTTACACTTTTTTTTTTTGTTTTTATACAGACAGCAGGGGGAGTACCTGTCATTACAGGTACTTCCCCTGCTGGCAATGCCTTGGACGGCTATGCTGTCCATGTGACTGCGAGGTCCTCGCGAACACATGGCCCAGAGGGGCTGAAGAGACAGGAGGGGGACTCCCTGGGCTCCCAGGTGAGTCCCCATAACACGATCGCCGGCGACCGGGTAAGTACATAAGATCGCAGGGCGTTCTATGCCGCCCTGCGGTCTTAAGGGGTTAAAGGGACATTCTAAGCACCAAACAAGTTTGGCTAAATATGGTGTATAAATAATCCCACTGCAGTGTAACTGCTAACTTATGTGCCGGTTAGGAGGAAACTCACTTTTGTTTCTGTTTACGCAACCTTAGCCATAACTCACTTAATGAGAATTTTTTTTTATTTTCAATCAGATCTAACAGCACAGTTGTTTATTTTAGAAGTTCTTTTCTCCTGTTTTGTTAATTGAACTAATCACACAAAGGATGATGTTGCAGCATGTAGGAAGCTATGAACAGAGAAGGAAATACGAAATTATACAAAAACACACTGTGCAATAAAGGAAGCTAAAATATTTAGACTTTTTTTCAGGTAGTTTGTAGCGAAGCTGTGTAATGCACAGCATTGACCAGTATGTATAGGGCTAAATGGTAGAGTATTGAGCAGTGGCGAAAAACACTTCATTAAGCTAAAGTTGTTTTGGTGTTCAGACTGTCTCTTCCATTTATAAAGGTATGATTTGCTTACACATAAGATGATATATTTACTAAAAAAAAGTGAAGAGACGACACAGGCAGAATAGAAGAACAGTACAACAACAAAACACATGAAAACATTATGTATACTTGCATATTTGTATCTAATAAATCACTTACATCAATCAACCAGATCAACAGGAGCACATAAACTTTATATAATATACTAACGGTATCCATCATGTAGTGGACTAATAGAATAAAAGTTGTCCAGCAAGGAATTGGAAGTAGTAAACTCTTATTGCTGAATATGTGAACATGGTCAGGAGGAAGAGATGTCTAGCACATCAGAAGTGCTCAGGAGCAAATTAGTAGATCAAAGACCATAGATACAATGACGGTTTTAAACAAAGGTGGGTCTGCTACAGAAACATATTAACAAAATAGACAAGAATATCATTATAGATCGGAGAAGCCATACTATTAGTATTACAACCCTATGAATAATAAGGACCTGACATAAAACAGGAGCATAAAAGGGGACTGGTGTTAAAATAGACATACTAGTTCAAAGTACAACATAGCTAGTTTGAAATAAAAGAGTATCAAAATACAATGTAAGTTAAGGTACTCACAAAGTACCTTTCTCAGGAACCCAACAACCATCCAATTTCCCCATAAGGGTTCTGCACCATACTTTGTGTGCAACACTGCCTGCCTGAGGCATAATGGAATGTCATCCAGAGGGGCATTTCCAAGATTGAAATTTAACAAAGCTTTAGCACCTCCCATACCAATGTCTAATTGGAGAAGCATGCTCTTAGATTCCTCACACCAATCATAAACACAAGGGCTATGAGGTGGTAAGATCCCCATTATTGCTCATGATTACATCAGGCAAGCAATGCCCCTTTGCCTACATCACCAAAGGGGCGTACCTCAGTGTGCACGGTACATTGTGATACTTTCAACGGAGGATGGACCGGAGCTAAGCACTCCGTTATTCATACCAACACCAAAGTCGAGAGGTGTATATAATTTACTGCTATGACACATTAATCACCTCTCCAATTTTTACTGAACCAACTGTAAGTATAATAAGCACTGAAACTTATAAGGAACAGAATGTCAAGATGCTATAGCTGTCTAGAAGCTACAAGTGTCTATATAGGGATTGTCAACAAGGGAGCTATATTCATACTGCTCTACAAATTAAACCCCAAACTTGGGAATCAAGTGGTCAAGAGTCATTTCTCAGACCATGAACATTATCTACTCCAGTTGTGCAGCTCCCTAGACATACACTTTATCTCAAATGTGTATGTCAAAATATCTGTATATATGGTAACATGAAGCGCAACAATGACCTATATACATTCAAAATTCATATAGACTACTGTCTATTCAAATGTCCTGCTGTGTCAGATATAAGGTCAGGACCCCTAAATAGTTCTGTTGAATCATAGATAAGTCACAAACTGCTAAGTTGCATTAAAGGACCACTATAGGCACCCAGACCACTTCAGCTTAATGAAGTGGTCTGGGTGCCAGGTCCAGCTAGGATTAGCCCTTTCTTCTATAAACATAGCAGTTTCAGGGAAACTGCTATGTTTATAATAGGGTTAATCCAGCCTCTAGTGGCTGTCTCATTGACAGCCGCTAGAGGTGCTTTCGCGCTAAGACGCCAGCGTCCATAGGAAAGCATTGAGAGACTGGCTGAATGTGCACGAGGCTCATGCCGCGCATGCGCATTCAGCCGATGACGACAAGAAGGAGGAGGAGGAGAGTCCCCCGTCCAGCGCTGGAAAAATAGGTAAATTTAACCCCTTCCTCCCCCTAGAGCCCGACGGAAGGGGGGACCTAGAGACCCTATAGAGCCAGGAAAACGAGTATGTTTTCCTGGCACTATAGTGGTCCTTTAAATCTATTCTACTGATGTAACCATTCAAAGGCAACCAAGTATGTTTACCCTAAAAATGATACCCAAAATGGTAAATACAGACATTAGATTGATTGACTAAGAGTATGCAATTTAAATAGGCCAAAGGTGCCAAGGTTTTTAGACAATGAATACAGTAGCCTTCTATATGTGTTATTTGTCCAAATTGCCTCTTTTTCTACCTCATTTTGAAACACTCTACACCAGTAAAATTAAGTCCATTTGACACACCTCTATGTGGGACCAATGATGTCAAGCTATTGAGGTGTCATTAGGACTAGTTCCATTTACAGAGTATAAGTCATATATGTTGGGTCAACCCTATCTTGGTTGCCTAAAACAACTAACATACCAATGTAGTAGGTATAAGGTTTGAAAATACATTTAAAGAAATTAAAACATTTTCGATAACAGTAACCATTCTTAAGAATTGGAAGTCATATATGTGGGTTCAAGACCTTTTTGTGG